TGTTGTTTGGCGGGCCCGGGCTGGGGATTCGAACCCGCCACCTTAGGTGTATGTGGCTGGCGCCTTAGCCGCTTGAGCCACAGGCGCCGAGCCCAAATGCCCTTTTTTATGAGAAGGTAGGGCAGCATTCTCTGGAGATGAAACTCCAGCAGACTGAGTGAAACTGGTCAAGAGATTCCATGTGGAGGTGGAAAGGAGGTCTCTTCCCTCACCCTCAATAAGGATGCTGCTGTTAGCAATCAGTAAGTTTGGCCTCAGATCTGGGTCCTCTACGAATTCCTCAAACACAACTTCAGGCAAGCCACTCTGCAGAATACTTTCAACTCTTTGCATGATTATCTCTTTCTCATGCTTCTGTGTCAGCTTAAATATCCCACATGGAGGCCACAACCTCTCCTTTCATATTATTCTCTGTTTCAATGTTCCCCTTCTATCCTTTATAACATTCATCTCACTTTGAAATGCTTTTGTTTACCGTTTGCTTGTAATGTAAGATTCATGGGACAAGTATATTTTTCTTGGTATCTGCAGTCATTTGAATGTGCTGCTCAAAGTTTGAGTGTTGGGGTGTTGGGAAGTGTTTGGGTCATGAGGGCAACACCTTCATGAATGGATTAATGCAGGAGTAGTTTTTTGGGCAAGTCTCAGTTTCTTATAAAAGCATGAGTTTGACCCCCCTCCTTGCTCTATTTCTCTCTGTCTTGCTTCATCTCTCTCTTACCTTCTCTTTCCTCTTCTGCCACAGGATGACATAGCAAGAAGGCCCTCACCAGATGCTGGTCTTTTGATCTTAGAATTCTCAGCCTCTAAAACCATAAGCTATTACATTTCTCTTCATTATAAATTACCCAGTCTCTGGTATTCTGTTATACCAGCACAAAATTGATGAAAACAATGCCCATCACATTTAGGAGATACATATGGTAGCTATTCAACAAGTATTTGTTCAGGGCATAAATGAATGAACTTTATCTTTCTGGATCTCTTCTTCATCTATAAAATCAGAGATGTTAAATGCATAGTCACTTCCTCTGCCTATGTTCATAGAAGCCAATACTAATAATAGAGCATTCTTTTCTGCTAATTTCACCATTGTACCCAAGATGAAATCCATTAGATGATTGCTAAATTACTACTGAAAGACCCCTATACCTCTATATTTTACATACAAGATATACATACTCCATCACTATCTAAACATTTAGGAAACAGGCAAGTTATTAATATTTGATCTAAACTTTGAATATGGACATATATTATGGAACTACATAATAATTATAAAATATACACACTCAAATGAGTTTGCAACTCAAATGAGCTGATAGATAGGTAAATATAAAATAATAATTATTTCTCTCAATTTTAATTTATTTTTCTGGTATGGAGGGAGCATAGGTACCTTTTTTAATGGCAGCCATTATTAATATTTATTACACAGGACAGGATGTGACATAATTGCTGATAATTTTACTAGACTTTCACAGTGATTAAGAATCATAGAGGAAGTACTGGGCTTTGAGTCAGGAGACATGAGTTCTGATTTTGGCTCTGCCACCAATTCCCTGAAAGAACCTCCTTGG